AAGTGGGTTGCTATTCTTTTCTCCAGGGAATCTTCCTGACCCAGGGATCGAACCATGTCTGTTGCATTGGCAGGCTGGTTCTTTACCACTGAGCCACCAGGGAAGCCCTAAGTGTCATTAATTATTTGCATCAGTCCCCCAACTGATTAAATAAACAAATGTGACATATCTTCTCAAGACTTCTCAGACTCCATGGAAGACATTAGCCAGTCAAAGGCATAACCAGTGTGGGGAACAGTGTCCCAGGAACAGCATGTGCAAAGACTTGCAGCATTGCTACACTTCAGTGCCCAATGAACTGAGTACGGGGCCCAGTGCAGATGCGGCAAAGACTGAACTCTGCCCTTTGGAGTTCACCATGAAGAGTTCACCATACTTCCTTTAGAGGGATAAACCATACCGTCTAAAGTGAGATGTGAAAGGAACAGGCAGATGTGTCTGGGATGGGGTGTAGGAGAGGGAAGGATCACTCCCTCAGACCTCATTTCTCATAAGGATGTGGAGGGGGACAAAAATGGCAAGGGCTTTGTTGATTAAAATGATAGCTCAGGGACTTCCCTGGAGGTTCAATGGTTAAGACTCTGTGCTCCCAATATAGGGGGCCCGGGGTTCAATCCTTGGTCAGAGAACTACATTCTGAGTGCCGCAACTAAGACCCGTTGCAGCCAAATGAATTGTTTAAAAACAGTTAAAAAAAAATAATAGTTCAGTTCTGAGGACAGAGCCAGGTAGGTTTTTATTCTCTCATCTTCTCTCCTCCTTTCATGAAAACCCTCCTTACCAGGCCTTGGCCGGCTGGCCCTGCAGCCCTGGAAAACGAGGAGTCTGTCTTTTCCGGCTGCCCAAAGGGACCTGCTGTGATTCTCATTTAAGAGCGAGGCGCTTCCTGACCAGAAATGACTCAGATAGATTTGTCAGTGGAGGACTGCAGCTGCCATCCTGGGATTAATTTGGAACTGCTGCCTCAGGATGGCAGGGCTGCTGGCTGCCCACAAAGGTCAAGCCTTCTCCAAGCCTTTTGTCTGGGTCACTCCCAGGGCCTCTCTCTGAGGAAGCTGCCACCCTCAGAGAGGAAATGACTGGCCTGCAATTCACCCCTGGAAAATTCTGCTGAGGCTTCTCTCCGTCCTCGTGTTTTAGCCATGGCCGCTGAGGGAGGGCACGTGGGAGGGTGTTTATTCAGTCGTTCAATCAGCAAATTGTTATTCAATCAACAAACGCTTGTTCAGTACCTCCTCCGTGCCAGGCGCTGTTGCGAGGTTTGAGGATGCAAAGTTAAATAAAGTATTGTTTCTACTCTCAAAGAATCTCAGCCTCACGTGAGAGAGACATGGGAACGGGTAATTATTCATTGTGACATTCTTATGGGTTGAGAATTGGATTAGTCAGGCTCTGTTTGCAAGTGATAAAGCAAAACCCTCAAACTTGGTTAGGCACAAAGGAAAGGCATTTAAGGCAAAGGAAAGGCAGCAGTCATCATGTAACTGAAAGGCTCAGGTACAGCTTGACTCAGGGGCTAGAAACCTTTACCAGGATTTACTTTCTTTCCAGCTCAGAACTCATGGTTTTGATTTCTGTGGTAGGCTGAGTAATGGACTCCTCCCCACCCCCCACCAAAGATGTCCATGCCCTAATTTCAGGGAACCTGTGACTGTTACTTTACATGGTAAAAGAAACATGGCAAATGTGATTCAGTTAGGATCTTGAGATGGGCAGATTATCTTGGAATATCACATGAGTAATCAGAAGTGTCCTTATCAGTGAAAGAGAGGAAGGAGAATCTATCACAGAGAGATGTGACTCTATGGAAGTAGTGATCAGATAGGAATGATGCCATTTATGGTAGGGGCTGTGAGGCGCCAAATGTGGGCAGCCTCTAGAAGAGGCTGGGAAAGGCAAGCCATGGACTCTCTCCTAGAACCGCCAGAAAGAACGCAGCCAGCAGACACCTTAATTTTAGCCTGGTGAGACTCATTTCAGACTTCTGAGCTCCAGAACCATAAGGTAATCAATCTATATTGCTTAAAGTCGCATCTGCCTTGGCTTCAAGTCTAGCAGAAAATATGGAACGCTTTCCTCCTGGTAACTCCTGCACCAGTCATTATTCTGATTGGATCAGAATAATCTCTGAGCCAATCACCTGGCAAGCAATGCTCTGATTGGCCAGGTGTGGGTCAAGGCTCCTCCCCTTGAGGGGGTGGAGCCCCACAGGAACATCCTGAACTGAGAATCAGGTTAGGGAGGGGAAGGAAATTCAGGTTCTACCCTGTTAGAAATGGGAATTAATGCAACATAGCTAAAAATAGCAACCTTTCACTACAACAGAGGAGGGAAAATTCTCACCTAGTTCTAAAGTAAAAGGAAAGAGCCCTGGGGGGCATTGGGAGACTTGGGTTTTATTCCCAGTTTTCTGTCTCATGAGCTGTGTGCTCTCAGGTAGGTGGCCTAACTTCTCTGGTCCTCTGTTTTGTCAGGAGCTGACTGCCACCACCTTGTGACTTTCTCAGGGTGGGATCATTCTCGAGTCACAGGCCAGCTCTGATCCGTCCTCGGTTACTGTCAAACCAACCCCAGGCTCCTGGATGGTTGGTGTGCTCAAGATTCAGTGGTCTCAGTGGTTTTGCTTTATCGGGGCTTTAGAATGGAATCTTCATCTTGTGACTCAGACATCAAAGGAGATTGAACTTGTCGGCAAATCTTCCTTGGTCTGGTGATGGTGTGGAAGAAAGAAATGTGGCTTCTTCCGTTTGTGGTCTCATGATTCCTGACCCCTCTGCAGGTTTTTCTTGCTGGCATGGGAGCTGGCCATTTTTGTTTGCCAGGGGTTCCTGTCAGAGGGAAGTTGGGACTCTGGGCTGTTTGTTGAGAACGAAGGGGCTCAATGAGGGCCAGCTCACCCCCTGGTTTGACTCAGAGTGGGTCAAGGGTTATATGATCTATTAATTAGGACTTACTGGCTGATTTAAAAAGAATCAGCCAAATCAAATGGGTTCAAATGTCAAATTCTGCCACTTCATCGCTGTGTGACGCTGGGCAAGTTACTTAATCTCTCTGAGTGTCAGTTTCTTAATCTTCAAAATGGAGGTAACCTTCTGTGGGCAGCTGGTTTTGTTTTCTATTAATATTTATACAGGCTGCAGCCACTAGGAATTCCCTGCAGATCCCCACCCTGATCAGTAAATAGATTTTCCTTTGCATGCAACCAAATCTAACTCCTAACATGACTTTTCTCTGATCCTCTGTGTTTTGGTTCCACGGGTGGTTCCTGCTGGGTGCCTTCCCCACCTCTCTTGAGGCTCTCTTCAGTCTGGCTTTCTCCCGGCTTCTCCCTGCTTTCCTTAACCTCTCCTGGGTTACTCAAGAGTGTCTGGGTCACGCAGGGTGAAGAGTCAGCAATTTCTTGCTCGAAATTGGCCAGTGGATAATTCCCAGTGAGACTGTAGACACCGCCCTGTGTTGGTGGTGGTGGGGGGGGGGGGGTCATCTCTGCACCATCTTGGGACTTGAGGTTTGGCATCTGTATCAGGCCAGGCCTCTGTCAAAAGCTTTGTCCCCTGAGGTAGGCAGAATTCTAAGATAGGCCCAAGATCATCCCTCCTGTGGCGTGAATGCCTCATGTGATTCCCACTGCTGGGATGTGAATGTGATGAGACGGACATTGTCTTGATCAAGTTATGTTATAGATGAAAAAAAAAAAAAGTAAAGGTATAGTCACACCTGGGGCTTCTCTGGTGGCTTAGTGGCAAAGAATCCGCCTACAATGCAGGAGACCCAGGAGACTTGGGTTCAGTCGTTGGGTCAGGAAGATCCCCTGGAGGAGGGCATGGCAACCCACTCCAGTATTCTTGCCTGGAGAATCCCATGGACAGAGGAGCCTGGCAGGCTGCAGTTCATGGGGTTGCAAAGAGTCTGATGTGACGGAAGCGACTTAGCACACATGCACACAGTCACTCCCATAGTTAGGTTACATAAAAATCTATCTTGTAGTGGCAGAGAGTAGTGAGATGAACCCCTCCCTGCTGGCTTTGAGGAATTAAACTGCAGGGTCTCTAAGAGCCAAGAGCCAGTCCCAGCTCACTATCAGCAAGAAAGTGAGGCTTTCAGTCCTAGTGAATTCTGCCAACTGGAGGGGCTTACAAGAGGAACCAGTCTCAGCAACCCTGCTGACACCTGGCTTCCAGCCTGATGAGACCCTGAGCAGGGGATCGAGCTCGCCTGGGCTTGCATTCCTGCCCCACAGAAACAGTGAGGTAATCACTAGATGTTGTGAGCTCATAAACTTGTGATGATTTGTTACCCAGTCTTTGAAACTAGTACCTTCTCTGAATTCTGGGAGAATCCCAGTTTGGAAGGAGCGAGAAGGAATGGCCAATTGGCTTGGAGGGTCCTTTGTACTCTGACTCTTGAATCTGTCTCATGTAATGGTCTTCTCTTCTATCTAAAGTGGATAGAACATCCACTCCCTTTTCCCACATCCCAACATCCCTCCCTTTTCCTGGAGAAATTCATAAGGTGAGGGAGGAAAGAAGTTTAGACTTTGCTTGGTGTTTGAGTTAGATCTGGCTGTGAGTAGTAGAAAATCATTTCAGAGTTGATTAGATAAAAGAACTTTTACCATTGGAAGTCTGGGGACTTCCCTGATAGTACAGTGGATAAGAATCTGCCTGCCAGTTCAGGGACACAAGTTCAATCCCTGGTCCAGGAAGACTCCACATCTTTAGAGCAACTAAGCCTGTGTACCACAACTACTGAGCCCATGCTCTAGAGCCCACGAGCCACAAGTACTGAGCTAGTGCACTGCAACTACTGAAGCCTGTGTCTGCTAGAGCCTGTGCTCCAAAACAAGAGAAGCCACTCAGTGAAAATCCCATGCACTGTGACCAAGAGTAGCCCCTGCTCACTGCAACTAGAGAAAGCCCAAGAGCAACACTGAAGACCCAGTGCAACCAGAAAAATACATAAATAAATAAAAACAAATTATTTAAAAAAAAAGTCTGGAGGCAGGTGGGGCTCAACTGGAAGACGGTTGAATGCTACTGTCTTCAGGCTTCTCCTACCATTTTATACTACCATTCTTATCGTTGTCTTTGTTTGTCTCATGGTGACAAAATGGCTGCTGCAGCTCCAGTCATTATATCTGTAAGACAGGAAGGAGGTGAAAGGGGCAAGGGCAGATTCAATAGGTGAACAGATAAACAAACTAAAATGTATCCATACAATGAAATACTGCTTGGTGTTAAATAAGAACAAGACATTGATTCATACAGCAATATGGGTACATCTCAAGTTCATTTTGCTAAATGAAAGAAGATATATAATTTCATTTACATGACATTGTGGGAAAGGCAACACTAGAAGATCAGGGGACAGATCAGTGGTTGGTATGGACTAGGGTGGGGAAAGGGTTGACTACAAAGGAACAAGAGAATTTGGAGGGTGATGATATACATTCTGTATTTTGATCGTGATGGATATACAAACTCTCTGCATTTGCCAAAATTTACTGAACTGTTCATAAAAAGGCTAAAATGTATTAATTGCATTTTTAAGCCAAATATTTTGGAGTGTAGGGGAAGTAGGGCGGGTAGCTGGAAGCCCTGATGTATAGTGTTTGCGCATTTCCATGGTGTAAATACACCCACCACTGCAGCTTTCACAAGGCCAACAGTTTAACAGCCGCACAAAATTCCTGAAAATTGGTGGAGTGCTACTGAATACAGTATATAAATTATGCTTCAATAAACCTGACTTTTAAAAAAAGTTTTCTGAGAAGCCTGTCCTAACAACTTCTGCTCACCACTTATGTCCATAAGGGAGGCTGGAAAAGGAATTCTAGCCAGGAACAAGTTCTCCCCCCTCCACCCTCAATCCCAGGAAAAAAATCATGGTTCTGATACTTGATGCAGCAACCACAGTCAAAGACAGCTTCTTAACTGCTCCACCTGCCTCCAGGGGTTCCAAAAAGAGTGAATTTCCACTAAGAAAGCCCACAGAGTCCTCCTGGCCTGATCTGACTTTTAATATCTAGACCTTTCAATCATACACAGAGACTCAGAGGGGCACACTGCCCCCTAAACTCACGGGCTTTCCTTTTTTTCCCCTTGGTTAATTTCCCACTTTGGGGCTTTTGTGTTAAATGTACTTTCCACCTGGAACCAGCCTCCCCAAGCTCTTAACCCAAGCTGGCTCCTTCTTAAATAGTTTTTGGCTCAGATGTCAGCTGCCCAGAGAGGACTGCTCTGGCCTTTTAGACAGAAGAATCTAAGACTTTGTCAGGTTCTCGTTGTATCCCAGCATGGAGAAGTGTTATCTAAAATGACCCCATTTGTTTTCTTATATATTGTATCTCTTTTTTTTGGAGAAGGTAAGCCTGCTAGTTGGGGCAAATCTTGTTCTGCTATTTTCTTGGAAACTCCAAGATGCACCAGGCTCGTAGTGGGTTGTTAGTCAATCCTGGCCGAATGAATGAAGGTAGCAGCACATACCTGTCAAGTGCAGTCCGTGCCCCCTGCAAATACAGACCCACTCCCCCTGTGCCCACACAGCTGCAGATGTGGATAGACCCTTATACACAAACCCAGCTGGGCTCCCCTCACCTGGGAGGGGTTGATGAGTCCTATTGTAGGTTGATCTTCCTCTTCAGAGCTGCACTCTTGAATTGCTGAGATGTTTCCCCTAGGGAAGTGAAAAAAACAAAGAGCTTTGCAAGAGAGAAAGAGGGGTCTGGCTAAGTGCCAGCAGCTGGCTGGGCTGGGATCTGTGCCAAGGAGGATTTGAGCTGCCACCCAGCCCAGCTCCCAGTTCCAGATGTCTCAGTAGGGCATGGAGAGAGGGGGCCCCGGACCCTCATTCAGAAAACCTCATGAGTGGGCTCTTGTAACTCATCCCTTGCTTCCAGCCTTGCCACCTGGATCATCCCTCAGTTTTTGCCATGTCACCTTGGATGAATTCTCTCAGGCCAGTGATCTAAACATTCCTAAAATGGCAGCCAGTTCAGTTAAACAGTAATCTGTGAGCCAGGTGGGTCCTGGTGCCAGCAACTATTCCCTGTTTTACTTTTTCAACAGAGCCTGGATTTTATCTGGGAGATGAAAGACCCTCTCCTGGAAGACCAATCAGATAGGTCTAAGGAAATCCTATTTCTTGTTGATCTCAAGTGGGCATGAGAATCAACTCTAGCCAATGAGATGTTAGGGCAACTTTGCTGGGGACAGATTTTTTCCCCTTAAGAAGAGAGAAGCACATGAGAAAAAAGCTCCTCTTGCCGTCTCATCCTTCTTTCCTGCTTGGTTCACTGTTGTGTGAGGGAGTGTTGCCTGGAGCCACAGCAACCATTTTATGACTATGAGGCTAACTTGGCTGACCTATTGAGGATAGTAGGGCAGAAAGTTGGTAAGCTCCTAGGTTCTTGATTGTGGAACCAAAATCATGCTGAAACTGATGCTCTCCAGGCTTCTTATTTATTATGAGATAATTAAATTTCTTCATAGCTCCTACTTGCAGCCAAAAAACATTTCAACTCATTCATAGGCCTCCTCCCCCCTCAACCAGGTAGTTCTTCCTCATTATGCAGAGCTTAGCTCCAGTGCCACTTCCTCAGAGGAGCTTGCCCTGTTTCTCTCCTCCCAAGAGCAGATCATGTTTCCTGGCTTCACACACTCCTAGCATCATGTGCCTTTAAAGCCCCTGTAGTTCAACAATTCCTGGAGGAGGAAATGGCAATCCACTCCAGTTTTCTTGCCTGGAGTATCCCACGGACAGAGGAGTCTGGTGGGCTATGGCCCATAGGGTCACACATGAGTTCAGTAATTGGTAAATGTCAATCTCGTACACAGAACTGAGTATGCCATAGGATTGTCCTTGCTTTCATTAAAAGCTGTGCATAGCACAGGCACAGTGCCTGGGGCTTTGTGAACCCTCAGCAAATATTCGTTGAATGCATGAGTGAATGTTCTGGACTTGAAAGATCTTGTAGTCTAAACTCATGATGAGATACCACTGCACACCAACTAGAATGACTAAAATTAAAAAGACTTAACAGTATCAAGAGTTGATGAGAACATGGAGGCACTGGAACTCTCATACACAGCTGGAAAGAGAGTAAAATGGTACAGCTGCTTTGGAAAACAGTTTGGGAATTTCTTAAGAGATTAAACATATATCTGCCATAGAACCAAGCAATCCTACTCTTAGGTAGTTACCTAAGAGAAATGAAAGTGTGTACATGGAGACTTGTATATGAATGTTCAGAGTTACTTTTTTGTGATGATCAAAAACTGGAAATAGACCAATGGACCATCAATACGTGAATGGATAAACACACAAAGGTTTATCCACACCACAGAATACTGTTCAGCAAGAATAAGAAATGAACTATTGATACGCATAACTATACTCTCAGCATAACTATGCGGCAAAGAAGGACAAGAAGGGGGCAAACTGGGCTGAGAATGCCCTGGCCAGGGGGGAGTGGACACCAGTCAGGGGATGTGACTCTCAGAGTAGGAGCCCCAAGTCCTCATAGAATCCCACAAGATCCACATGATCTGGCCCTGAGACCCTTCTATTTTCATTTTTCTCCCCTGCCTGCCTTTGCCCTGCTTCTTGGACCCACCAGGTTACTCCTACCTCAGGACCTTTGCACTGCCTAGCTCCTATTCCCCCAGATCCAAACATGGCTCAGACCTTTACTGCCTGCCAGTTTCTTTCCAAAGGTCACCTCCACAGAGAGGCCTGTACAAATCTCTTCTCTGTCTAAAAGAACTCCAGACTCCTCTTCTGTCTTGCCTTTTGCTTTACTTCCTTGTTAGTGCTAACCTGCATTTGGTTAAAACTATATGTATATAAAGGCTTCCCTGGTGGCTCAGATGGTGAAGCATCTGCCTGCAATGTGAGACATTCACGTTCGATCCCTGAGTTGGGAAGATCTGCTGGAGAAGAGAATGGCAACCCCCTCCAGTATTCTTGCCTGGAGAATCCCATGGACAGAGGAGCCTGGCGGGCTACAGTCCATGGGGTCACAAAGAGCTGGACATGACTGAGCAACCAACACTTTCATATGTATATAAACACACAAAGGAGCGACGTGGATAACTTTCAAAATAATCATGTTAAGTGAAAGAAGTTCGATACAAAAGGAGGACCTACTGTGTGATTCCATTTACATGAAATGATTCCATTTATATGTATTTTAATGTCCCTCTCTGGCCTTGCCCCCCAATAATAGTTGCACGTGGCTATTGGAACACCTGAATTGCGGCTGGTAAGACTGTGGAACTGAATTTTCAATTTAATTAATTTTAATCCATTTAAATTTTAAATGAAAAAATCCACTGGTTCCAAGAAATGTGGTCACAAATATTAGAGCAAAAGGGCTTCTGAATACTCAGTGCTTGAAAGACTAAAGTCTCTGCAGGACAACCTGGGTGGGTCCATCCACCTTTATAACTGTCCGTTTTATGAAACTGAAATACAGATCAAGTATTTCCAATGGGAACTGACAGTCTACAGTGAGATGGGCTGCAAATATAGAATATAGAGGGCATTCCAAAGAGTTCATACGAAAAAAAAAGAATGTAAATATCTCACTGATAATTTTTCATGTGGCTTGGATGCTGATACAATATTTTGGGGACTTTTCTGGCAGTCTAGTGGTTAGGACTCCCTGCTTACAGTGCACGGTGTGTGGGTTCCACCCCTGGCCAGGAACTAAGATCCCACATGCTGCATGGTATGGGGCCAGGGGGTCCTCCCCTCCAAAAAAAAAGAAAAAAAAAAAAAATATATATATATGATCCATTAGGTTAAATAAAACACCACACTTAATTTCATCTGTTTTCTTTTTATAATTTAATTTCATTGGTGTATAGTTGATGCACAATGTTGTGTTAGTTTCAGGTGTACAACAAAGTGATTCATACGTTCATTCTTTTTTAGATTCTCATATGCATGCACACATGCATCCTTCGTGGCTCGGTCATGCCCAAATCTTTGGGACCCTTTGGACTATAGCCTGCCAGGCTCTTCAGTCCATGGGATTCTCCAGGCAGGACTACTGGAGTGAGTTGCTATTCCTTTCTCCAGGAGATCTTCCTGACCCAGGGATCGAACTGGAGTCTCCTGGGTCTCCTGCACCGCAGGTGGCTTCTGTTCAGCAGAGCTCCCTGTGCTATTCAATTTCACGTTTCTTTCTCCTTTTTAACGTGGCTACAGGGAGTTTTTCACTGCACATGTGGCTCACTGCCTTTTCCCGGCTGCTCTGGAATGCCAGCTGGGTGAAGGCAGCCACTGGTCTCCGGGCTCACTCGGGACATCTCGGGTCTGGGCTGCCCTGTGCTCTGGGCCCCTGTTTCTCCCAGCGGAAGGACCATCACTGAACTGCTGACCGTGGGCGTGTGTCCTCAGAAACAGGGCATTCCCAGCCCATAGGAGGAAGAGCAGCTGTTGGAGGGCGCGGGCAGAGTGACTCCGTTCCTGCGCTGCGAAGAGGAACTTGGGCGTCTGCTGAGACCTTGTCACCACGGCTCCTTCCCAAGTCGCGGTTGCCAAACGCCTTTCTCCCTGCCCGCCGCCCCCGGACGGCCACGACCGAGCCGCTGGGACGCCTCCCACTTGGCTGCGGAAACGGTTTGCATCATTTTGTACCCGAGGCCTGGGGGCATCTGAAGTTCAGATCCACTGGAAGGAAATCAGCCTGTGCCTTGTTCTCGCCACAAAACAAGAATCAATACGGCATTGATTCCGAGGAGACCGCCTCCCTCATCAAGCGCCTCGGAGTAGAACTCTCCAGCACCCAACGGGGGGTGGGGGGGTGGCTGGGAGGCGGGGAGGGGTGGTGGTCAGAAATGGGCCACTGGGTGGAGTAGGCTCTGTGTGTATTGACTTTTTTTTCTCCCTAAGCCTTTAAACAAATAATGGTAAAACAGAACATAAAATTTACCCTTTTCCCCATATTTAAGCGTGCAGCTCAGTGGCATTAAGTTACATTCACACTGGTTCACCATCAGCCTCCAGAACTTTTCGGTCTTCCCCAACTCACTGGCTTTTCAGATTTGGGGGAAGGTCAGGGGGCGGGGGGATGGGATGCCTGGTGGCAGGGCCGGTGCAGGAGGATCATGGGAGAAGCCAGGTGTCCCAGCCGGGATTGCATTTCTTCTCGGCATCTCTCTGGGAGCCAGGCTTCAGGAAATGTAGGCGCAGTCACAGAAGGGTAATTCCAGGAGAGTTGGATAAAGGGGCTATTTGCAAGGGCGTGGGCAGACCTAGGGGAAATCCTGGGCTAGACGTGGAGGAGCTGTTATCACCGGGGGCTGGAAGGGAGGAGGGAGGGAAAATTCCAGAAACCAGCAGAAGAGAGGATGTAACATCTGCCTGCAGAGGCGTGGTGTCCTTCAGTGGAAGCAAACAGCCGGCCCTGGGGAGACCCTGACCTCGGTCTCCTCCAGAGTTCTGCAGGCGCTCCGAATCGGCCAAGTCTATCCATACCGCGGAGAGCAGCGGGCTGCGGGTGGTTTTGGGTCAGCCTCCAGGCAGAGAGCCCGGGGCATGAAGGAGGAGAGTGAGGCGGGCATACAGAAGATGCCGGCACACAGGGTCTGATTCGTTTCTTAGTCTAGTGAAAACCTGTGTCTGTCTTCACAGCACCTGTTCCTCCTCCTTCCGGCAGTAGCCATATTTGTCTTCTGGGAGCCAGCCTTCCACCCACAGTCCAAAGATGGCCTCCAACCCCAGGGCGGAGGAGCCTGGTTTAAGCCAACCAGCTTATTGCATTCCTCTGGCCTCTGTGATTGGTCCAGGATGCCCAATTACAGCCGATCCTGGAGACTTGCCTGTGGGGGCAGACTGTCTTTCCTGTTAGACCCCAATCCGGGGAATGTGGTGTAAGACTCCTGCAGCAATTTTGCCAACATGTGGCATCTGTGAATGAAGCCGACATGTAGACAGCCAGACA